TTAAAGGGGTATCAAAGGGGGAGATAATGCGAGGATATCTGCGGATAAATAAAATACGCGTATTTACGAAATGGTTTGATTAGTTTTGAAGTTTTCGCCGTTCGAGCATAAGTCGGGAAGTTTTGATTACTTTGAAAATCTAACTTTGTATGTGAAGCCCCTCTTAAAGTTTTCGAGCTGGTCTGGGAATACATGTTTCTACCTAATCTTGACAGAACAATTTAGATTTGGTCTGATTTACGCGATACACGGCGATCGCATTTTTATTTGGGGCCGATCAATTCAATTTATCAAAATTTACTCCTTTTCCCGCATAAAATTGAAGCGCTATCTTAATGAAGAATTCTAAATGGAGGGGCGCATTATAAAGAACACTTCATAATATTACGTTGGATAACTATCACGTTGGCTTTATTTCCCAACTTTTGAATTGACATCGAAAATGATCAGAGAAAAACTAGAGATGAAGAAAGTAAAAGGAAGAGAGAGAGAGAACCACGGAAGGAGTCCCATATTGAAAAGAAGTAATTGGGAAGAAGAGGATGAAAAGAAAGAACTGCAGAAGACTGAAAAAGCAAAGGGAAAAGAAGAAAATCACTGATGGAGCTGATTGCAAACCTAGGAAAAAAGAAACAAAAGGGAAACGGATAACGTAAGCAACAAAATAAGAATAGAAGTGAAAATGAACAAGGTAAAGACATAAAAAGGGCGAGAGAATTGCTGATAAAAGAGTTTCGGGTAGAAGATCAGGTAAAAAAGACAAGAACTCTAGAATGAAGAAATAAAAAATAGCGGAAGGATTAGAAGGAGGCAATTATGATGAATAAAGGGAGAGGGGGGAAATAACACATATTTCGGACATAAGAATAAAGCAAGCGCATTAGGCGCTAATATACAGCAAGAGGGAAAAAGAGAAACCGAGCGCATGAGGGAGAATGGTGGAAAAAAGAAAAAAGATATTACGAAAGGATGGAGGAAGAATTGGCTAGAAGGCAATTCTCTGTATTTCACGGGGGAAAATAACGTTTAAAGAGTTGATAACGAGTTGATGTCGAAATCTCTAAAGAAAAGGCGGAAAAATAAAAAGGATAGATTCACAGCATGTGCAAATGAGAAGGGAGGAAATGAAATACGGAAAGAAGAAAGGAACTGCAGACAACGCGGTGAGAAAAAGGAGAATAATAATTATCAGAATGATGTAGAAACATAGCAGAAAAGAGGAGAGAATCATTACACGCAGACAGAGAAAGGAAGAGAAATGGGTGAAGCAAATCATAGGACAAATGAAAACACAGGAAAGATAAGAAAAATTCCCGAAATGCCGATAGATGTCATAGTACCATTAGTCATCGGCGATAAAGAACGAAGGCGGATGTGACGTAAACTTTCCGATAAATATGACGTGTTTGTTCGGTAACATTCTGAGAACATTCTAGAAAGAATTGTTGCTTTCTATATAATCAAATCGAATTGTGTTTAGAGTTTAGTTCCAACTTCGATGCGCTTGTGTTACGTTATAAATTTTAAGTGATAAATAATAATTACTGTTATAAATTAATCCATTTTAAAACTGTTTGCAAGTAAATAAAACCACGTAATTAAATTTACGATACAGTAATATGACAAAGCAAAGAGATTATGAATGAAGAACAGGAGAGAAAGTAAGCGAGGTAGAATCAAAACAAAAGACGAGGCATAGAGAGGAAAGATGCGGAAATAGGGAACAGAAATAAATTGCGGGAAGTTCAGAAGGAGAGCATACAAAAGGGAAGAGTATAAGTGGAGGGGAAGCAGAAAAAGATTTAGCTAGAGAAACAAAAGACGTACTTGATCATAGAGAGGAAACACAAGGTTGTCCTGAACGGATAAACAAAATATCAAAAATACAAAATATGCAAAAAAGAAGCAGAAATGCCATTAGAACGTACTGAGAAGAGACGATGGAGGATAATGAACGCAAGGGTACGGAAAGGAGTACATTATACTGAATGAAAGGGACATTCAGGAAAAATAAGACAAGGGGGAAGAAAAAGGAAAATGTGACACAACGGAACGTCATAACATGTTGCAGGAGAAGAGGAAATGAAGATATCGTATGGAACCGTTGACCTTGAAATTATGTGGAACTTTCCTTTAAATAATCTTAAAATTATTGTTGGATTGAGGTAGGTCGCCAAGCTTCACACTCGTAAGACTGCGTGTTTTAGACCCTTATGGCATTGAAGCGCTGGAGCACAGTTTCTGGAAGTTATAAGTAGAAGCAGGTAAAAATGTAAGAAAGTAAGGAGAACAGAACAAAACGGAAAGAGAGGGAGTGAAGGAGGGGTTGAGGAAAGAAGAAAAGGCTACACTAATAAAAAAGTTTAAAGAAAGGAAGAAGATAAGAATATATAAGTCACAGGTAGGACCTAGGAGGAATACAGATGAGAGAATCAGGGGCAGGAATGAAACGGGCGTGGTTTAGAGAGAGGGATTAAGTTCGTTCGTTCGATAAGAGTCCTCATCGCTTCGTAAGCTGGTTAGTTTCAAGATAAGCACATGTTATAGCCGAAGTAAGCAGGTGTTAATTGTTTTAAATAGAAGAGGTAGACGTTAATCGGAGCTTCTTTGGCAGTGGACGTTTGAAACGTAGCCGTTTGTTTGGTGTATTGCCGTATTTGAGCGTATTTGAAGAGACAGTCTGTCTTGATTAATTATAAAACTGAGCAAAAGAACGCTGGACAGTGTTATCGAGCATTTGTCGCCGAAGAGAAACCTTTCTTTAAGACTTTGGGCGTTTTTCCACGATCAAGCGCCAATAGTATAATTGTAATGACAACGAAGTCGGTGCCACCTAAATCGAGATTCAAGTTTAGAAGCATCATCAGCTTGGTTTTTGTGTTCTGTTAGTGCGCCATTTTGTTGAAAACCGGACTTAAGTTGATTAAAACTTTATTTAAATTTATTCCATCGATCGCTTGTGGCGTGGTTTTTCTATCCCTGAGCGCCTACCTTTCGTTCAGCTTATTTCATTGGTTTATATCGAATAAATTTGTGTTTCATCTGTAAACGGTTGGATTTGTGCTTAATCGATCCCAATAAGAGTTCTCAAGTTAATTGTTTCTATTTTTACCCAGAATTACATCAGGTGTTAATTAATTCTTTGTGTTCTTGCGAAGAAACGGGAAAATGAGAAAGATAAGGTAAAAGAGAATGCAAGGGAGAGCAAAATAGGAGAGAGATATAACTGTATAGGTAGAATCTCAATTAAAGAATGCCAGGATGGAAAAACAGGAGAGGAGATGAGTGCAATAGATGGTCTGAAAAAGGATGAGAGTGATAAAATTTAAAACGGAGAATGTATGAACAATTCACGAAAGAAAAACAGACAAACAACGAAAGGCATTAATAATTCAACATAGAGAGAAAATTGGTTATAGAACTGATGGAAATGAGGATAGAGAATGAGAGAGAGATGGAAAAGTTAAAAAGGTCATGATAAGAAAAAGGACGGATCACTAACAGGTGGAGATGGCTTTGAGAAAGGAAATCAGAAGAGCATGCACCTTCACAAGATAAAAACAAGGAGTGGTAGTTAAAGAAAATTGATACAGAAAATAACGCAAAAGGATTGAAAAGGGTAAGAAGCTGAGAGAACAAAAAACCTAAAGAAAAAAAGATGAAGAAACGGAACGATTATGAAGAAGAGGGAATCAAGCTACAAGAGAAGTAAACTAGGCCAATAACTATGGTACGAAAAGGAGGACTACCAACGAATTGAAAGGGAGGGATAATAGTACCGGTTCGCAAAGGAGGTGACAAAGGAGGCGACGCCATGGAACCAAATCACAGTGTAGAAAGGAATTAGAGGGTTACTGGAGAAAGCAGAAATGAAAGTTAGAAAAAGAAAAGGAACTGTAGACCATGTGCATGTACTAATAGGGTGGTAGAAGAAGAGCTAAAAAAGGGAAAGGAGAGATAACATTCTTTAGGGGCAAATGGGTATTGAATTTGTAAGAATAGAGGCAGGACATAAGAAGAGAAAAAAGTATGAAGGTGAAGAATGCCTGTCAACAAAGATGAGGACAAAGGAAAAATGGTGGGAATCGAGAATGGTGGTATCGGTAACGAGAAGAAGAGAATGAGCGAAAAGTATGAAATGAGAATTATTAGAGAGAGAAGAGGATAGAAATGGATGAAGGAAATCATAACAGAGAGAGACAAAAAATATACAACGGAGAAATGAAGATAAAGTCTTCGACGAGCTCAGACGTACGTAAATGGAACGAAAAGAGGAACGGAAATTATGTTCTTTTACAGGTTTTCCGAACCTTGAAAAGTGCGAAATAAATGAATAAATAACACAGAATGAGAATGTAAGAATGGAAAAGGATGAAAGATTATATCATACTAAATCAAAGGGACAGTGAAGAAGTAAATGGATACATGGTACAAACATGGGTATAAATGACATAATTCTAAAAAGAGTAATGAGAAGAACGAGAAGAACAATGTTACAGAGAAAGGATACAAAAAGATGCAGAAAAAATACAAAATCTCCGAAACAGATAAAAGAAAGAGAAGATAGAAAGCAAAGGAAGGAGTGGAGGAACACTTACTGTACGCAAGAGAGAAATAGATACAGTTCAATAATGGAAAGAAAAGAGATGGAAATGAAGTTGACAACACAAGACAGAAAATGTAAAAAGCACGTACAAATCAAAATGAAGAGATAGAAGGCTGGGTTTCTCGAAGTTGATAGATTCAGGAAGATGATGAAAAAAGAGATAGAAGCACTATACGAAATATTAATTGGGCCATTAAGATTTTTGTTTTTCTTTTGATATTCAGATGTGTGTTTTGCACATAATTGTATGACCACAAATGTTCACATGGTATTCAAACGTGGAAAACTTCTAATGGCGATTAACGTAATTGAATGCGTATAACTTATCTACCTTTTAATTTAAATACTAGCGAATGATGGAAATCCATTTTTAATTTTTTCGCACGCACACACACGCACAGTGGTCAATAATTCGTATATGTGGGTATATAAGGATGACATGAGTGTTCTCCTTCGTCATATCTGGCATCCAAAATGATTGTGTCCGTCCCCCTCCTGTTTACGCTTATAATTTTCTGCAATGCTCAACTTATCAGTAAGTATGGCGGGTACTTATAATTATTGCAAATCATCGTTTTAGCAAAATTCCAAGTGTGCTCGCGCTCAGATCCCAATATCAACAGCTGCCTCAAGTCCGCAGTCATAAATGCACTTCCTGTTTTGAAAGACGGTACTGACAGCAAGATTGTAAGTGTAATTAACGTGAGATTTTAGGAGTAAACGAATATGGTCTCCTGTCACTCGAGCCAATCAGGCTTGAAAGATTCGTAGTGAAAGCGATGCCTCCAACGCATTTTGACCAGGTCTACACCAACATCGAGCTCTACGGTTACATGTCTAGCCAAATTGAAGAAGTCACGTAAGGTTCCCTCGCGCCCCTGGGGCCAACTTAAAGTCCGAATTTTAGCGCCCAAATTACCGACGACAGCTTTTCGATTGCCATAAGGTTGCTATCCGGAGAGGGCCGGGTAACTTCCAACTACGCATTTGAGAGTGCCGTCTTCGGGGGTGTCGACGTCAGCAGTGCCGGACAATGCAGTGTTACTATCGTAGGCAAAGCGGTTCATGACCGAGTTCACTTCAATAGCATGTTCCAGTTAACAAGACGATGACAGTCAAATTTAGCGGATCACCGAAATCCGTTGGGGGAGAGAGATACCTGGAGGCGAAAACAATTCAAATAATCGACCCCAAGGCTGAAAAGCTGACGTTCACCTTTACCTCCCAAGACAAACCGGAGGCGGCAAGTTTGCTAACGAAAAGTTTTAACCAACACTCGAATGTTATAGCTACGGATGAATTGCAAAAGACTATTGGGGTTTATTCTGCTGCGTTCCTAAACGAGGCAAATGTTGTTTTCTCAAAAATTCCATTTGATACCTTATTCCCAAAGTAAATCTTTCATTTAAAAACTTTTATGTTCATAAACTGTAATAGACTCCACCATGGTATCGCTAATGTAGTAAAAATTAAAGGTAATTTTAGTCAAAAGTATATTAAGTCAAACTTATCTTGCCAACATAAGAATCACCAAAACCCTTGACGTCTTCAAAACCCAGGAAATCCAAGGATCCCAGTAATTTAATGACATTCAATGGTCTGCTGAAGAACACTTCAAAAACCTCAACATCTCTTAGGCCAACTACAACCGTAAATACAGACTCAAAAGCCTCAAGCATCCCAAATATCTCAAGTATTTCAAGAAAGATCTTCCCCACATCACTAAGAATAAAATTGAGAGAGGAGACCAAAAATGTCAAATAGTTACAAAATATCCAACAATAATATTTATATTGTAGTACGGGATGAGGTAAATGAAGCGGGTCATTGTATGAATGTCAAAAACCTCTAACCTCCCATTTCAAACCTCTAAAAGCTGCATGAGCTAAAAACAAGAGTATTTTGAAAGCGCCAAAAACCTAGAAAAGAACCTTTTTGCCTTTGCTATAGCTTCAAGTATCATCCATCGAAATTGTGAAACGTCGAAGTGCTCCATAGCTTCCATACACGATAAATTCAAAGATCTCAGCAGCTTCAAACTGTTCAAGGTTTTACAGGAACTGAAAAACTCAAACCGTTGTCACGGACATTGAGAACCCCAAAAAATTGAAGAGGAACTTCAAAAACTTCACACTCCCATTTTCTACAATTCCATACATTCCGGGGATTTCATCAATTATAGGAGCGTCAAAAAGAACTAGGAAATTCAATTACACCACAAAACTATTAAAAGATCTCAAGAGCTGCCAGTACCTCAAGACGTCACAAACTTCAAAACCCTAAGGAATTCAAAAACCCCACAATCCAATGAAGTTCAATGTTTAAATAAAAGAAAATCTCTAATCCCTTCAAGAACCCCAGGTCTATACAGGTCCATCTCCATAAAAACTCTAAACGGTGGCACATAAAGGGCCAGTGTCAGGGGCACAACTGAAAGCTCGCGTAGAAGGGTCCGGGGAGTCTGCGAGATCATGAGGCGGATATGGTGAGACATCAGGCAACGGCTGGTTATCCCGGTGAATCCCAAGGTGCGCTGGAACAAATTTCCATCGAACAATTAGTTGCTGGAATCCGACATAATGACATGCAGCGGGCAGTCAGATGGTCTCGTCCCAAGTCACTGCAGGAAGCTTTATCCGTAGCAGTAACGAAACCATCCATGCATCAATCACGCGCACAAGTCCGGACTGCGACCGAAGAAACCGATTTCCATGTCATAATCAAGCAGACATTGAAAATTGGAAAGAGCCTCACTCGAATGTTGGAATTGCGAAGAACTTGCAAAAAGTTCTAGTAACTCAGACCATCTACTGATTCATCAGAAAACCGTCGGAAGTCGAGACTGTCACTGTCGCGTTACTCACTGATAGGTTGATTTGGAAAACCAATGAGTACATCATCAGATCCCAGTTGACCAACCGAAACGCGACTTACAATACCAAACACCGATGACGCACTTCAACTGGAGACATCGCCAAAGTTCATATCACTATTGAGAAGACTACTATTACGAATCATGAACTGGTAGCAGACATCGAGGAAAACATCATCTTGGGGATGGACATAATGGGCAGTTACGGTTTTCAACTTGATCTCAGAGAGAGAGAGTATTGAAAATGGAAGATGAAGAATTAGTAGTGCATCAGCAAGAATCACTTCAGTATGCCTTGTTGAATGAAGATGTCACGATCCCTAGTAGAAAAGAGACATTCGTTACGTCACGCTCACGGTTGGATGGAAAGCTGCAAGATAGAATTGCTGCCATGATACAATCAAGTGGAGGAAAATGTGATTGAGGAATCAAATAGCCCTTGGGCGTCTTCTGTAGTCATTGGGAAGGAGAAAGGCCGCTCCCCCAGATTTTGTGTGGATTGTCGTCAGCTATCCGTTGCCGAAAGTTAACAACACTTTAGATATTCGTGATGGATCAAGGATATTCACAACTTTAGGTTTAAAAAGTGGCACAAGATAAGAAAGACGGCTTTTACCCTTGGATCAAGGTTATGGCAATTCACCATTCGGATTGTGCAATGGCCCAGTGAAAAAGTGATTTCTTGCGACGCCGCATGCGATATTTGGGACACATTGTGTCCAGTGAAGAAGTCTCTGTGCTCCCGGAAAGGACAACAGCGATCGAAAATTGACCTGTACCATATCGTTAGTACAGGAGGGAAAGATTCTCGAGTAGAACGAAACGCAACCCTCACAATCCTTGGATATGCTGAAACGCATGGCAATTTCGTTTTGGACAAGCACACTAGCAACGTGGTAATTGGAGGAGTTCTATCCCAAATCCAGGATGGACAAGAAAGAGTGATCAGTTATTTGAGAAAAACGGTATCAGAACTACTGGGCTACTAGGAAAGGATTTTTGTCAATAATCAAGTACTTGGAGAATTTCCGCATGGCTGCCGCAATTCAAGAATCCCGAAGGGTAGGGAGCAAGACGGATCGATCATCTGCAAGCGTACGACTTTCACATCCAACATCGCGCAGGAATTTGTTATGGAAAAGCTGAGGCTCTTTCAAGAAGATCCTGTCCAGAAAATGGTGAGTATTGTCGATAAACCGAGGAGAAAGACCAGTTGGTCCAAAGAAAAAGAGCAATCACCTGAGACCCTACCAGCAGTAGCGTGGGCATATTACTCGGAAATGTTATAGGCCTTTAAGGAAACACTGCTTCATATGTGGTTCAGTTGAAGTAACTCGTTGTGAGTGTAGGCAGTGTTCTCGTAGGTCGGAAAACGACCAAGGGGGAAGGTTGAATCTCAGAAGACCAATCGTGTTCGTTGTTTGTTAGATGACGTGTTCTCGCATGTCAGATCACATATTGGCATTATTAGATTCGGGGGCTACAAAAAGTGTGACTGGGGAGAAGTGTTGGAGGATTTTAAGAGGAACTGGTATGTCGTCGCTATAAAAATCCGATTTTTAAAATGCGAATAGTGAATCGTGCGCTTGTCTGGGTGTCCTTCCAGCACCATTTAGATTGAGGAAGGTGGCGAAAATCTTAACATTTTGGTTGTTTCATAAATTAAGTCAGTGGGGATGGGATATTTGACTAAGATGGTGATGGTTCCAAACTTACGGGTAAATGGGTGAAAATTATTGGTTGTGGGTCATAAGCAGGTAGGACGGTAGACATGAAATCTGGGCAGAATCTGGACCAGGACCACGAACTTGAGCTGGCTAGGGTCGTAGAGGGTTATTTTGGTACTCTAAGTGTTGGACGAAGGTGTAATTGAATCATCGACGAGTGCAGACCAATGGTGATGGTGAAGAAGACGTACTTCCAGACTACACCACATAATGTTGTTGTTAAAAGGGATGGTTATGATGTTTGTATTTTTTTATATTCAAATATGTATTTTGCACATAATTGTGTGACTGAAAATGTTTACATGTTGTTCAAGGCGTGGGAAACTTATAATGGCCACAATATAATTGAATGCTTGTCACCTCAATTGTGATATTAACGAAAAATGTAAATCATTTTTAACAGGGTACTGATACAAAGGTCAGTTATCTCAATTATTTTCATATCTGGGTATATAAAGATCGGAGTTCTACTTAACCCAATCTGCCTTCCAAAATGATTGTGTTCCCCCTAGTATTTGCGCTGAACACAATTTTCTGCAGTGCTCAACTTATCAGTAAGTATGGCAGCTCCCTTCAACTATTGCAAATGAACGTTTTAGCAAAATTCCAAGTGTGCTCGCGTTCAGATCCTGATATCAACAGCTGCCTCAAGTCCGCAGTCGTAAATGCACTTCCTGTCTTGAAAGACGGTACTGACTGCAAGTTTGCAAATGTAATTAACGTGACATTTTAGGAGTAAACGAATATGGTCTCCTGTCACTCGAGCCAATCACGCTTGAAAGATTCGTAGTTAAAGCGGTGCCTCCAACGCATTTTGACCAGGTCTACACCAACATCAAAGTCTACGGTTACATGTCTAGCCAAATTGAAGAAGTCACGTAAGGCTCCCCAACCCGCCCCTGATGACCTCAAAGGTCCCAATTTTAGCGCCCAAATTACCGACGACAGCTTTTCGATTACCATAAAACCGTTCACCGAAAAGGTACAGATAACTTCCGGCTACCAATTCGACGGCGCCATCTTCGGGGGTGTCGACGTCAGCAGTGCCGGACAATGCAGTGCTACTATCGGTAGGCAAAGCGGTTCATGACCGAGTTCACTTCAATAGCGTGTTCCAGTTAACAAGACGATGACGATTAAATTTAGTGGATCACCGAAAACCGTTGGGGGAGAGACATACCTGGAAGCGAAGGGCATCCAAATAACCGACCCCAAGGCCGAAAAGGTTACGTTCACCTTTACCTCCGAAGACAAACCGGAGGCGGCAAGTTTGCTAACGAAAAGTTTTAACCAACACTGGGGTGTTATAGCTACGGATGAATTACAAAAGACTATGGGTGTTTATTCTGCTGCGTTTCTAAAAGAGGCAAATGTTGTTTTCTCAAAAATTCCATTTGATACCTTATTCCCAAAGTAAATCTTTCATTTAAAAACTTCTATGTTCATAAACTGTAATGGACTCCACCATGGTATCGCTAATGTGGTAAAAATTAAAAGTAATTTTAATCACAATTATTTTAAGTCAAACAAATCTTGCCAATATAAGAATTCCCAAAATCCTTGACTTCCTCAAAATCCAGGAAATCCAAAGACCTCAGTAACCTTATGAAATTCAATGGTTTGAAGAAGCTGAAGAACACTTCAAAAACCTCAACATCTCTGAGGCCAACTACAACCGTAAATACAGACTCAAAAGCATCAAGCATCCCAAATATCTCAAGTATTTCTAGAAGGATATTCCCCAAATCACTAAGAATTGATGGAGGACACCAAAAATGTCAAATAGTTACAAAATATCCAAGGGTAATATTTATATTGCAGTACGGGATGGGTAAATGAAGCGGGTCATTGTATGAATGTCAAAAATCTTTAACCTCCGATTTCAAACCCCGAAAAGCTGCACGAGCTGAAAACTTAAGTGTATTTTGGAAGCACCAAAAACCTAGAAAAGAAGCTTTTTGCCTTTGCTACAGCTTCAAGTCTCATCCATCGAAATTTTGAAACGTCTAAGTGCTCCATAGCTTCCATAAACGATAAATTCAAAGATCTCAGGAGCTTCAAACTGTTCAGGGTTTTACAGAAACTGAAAAACTCAAACGGTTGTCAAGGACATTGAGAACCCCAAGAGAAACTTCAAAAACTTCACACCCTCATTTTCATGAAGAGCTTCAAAAAGAACTAGGAACTTCAAGTATACCAAAAAACTATTAAGAAGATCTCAAGGGCTGCCTGTACCTCAATCATAAGAGATTCAAGAATCTCACAATCCCGTGAAGTTTACTGTTTTAAAGAAATCTTTAATCCCTTTAAGAACCCTCTAAAGGGTCGGCACATAAAGGGCCAGTGCATCGAGATAGCTCGTGTACAAAGACCCGAGTGGTTTTTGCAAGACTATGAGACGGATATGGTGAGACAAACAAAAGCTGGGATGACAGGATCGGACAACCTGTTACTTGGCTATCGATTTTGATTTAGATGATAATGCCAAAAGACGTAGCCGGTAGCCCTTGTGAAGAAGAAAGACGGCTCCACCAGATTTTCTGTGGATTATCGTCCGCTGCACAATGTGACTAAGAAAGACAGCTATCCCCTTACCGAGGATTGGAGGTAACCTAGATACTCTTGCTCTTGGCGAGTGGATTTAGCTCCAAACGAAAAGACGGCCTTTACCCTTGGATCAGGATTATGGCGATTCACCGTAATGCCATTCGGATTGTGCAATGCGCCAGCCACTTTTGAGCGACTAATAGAGTTTGTTCTTAAGGGATTATCTTGGATGATATCGTAGTTGGCAAAACCTTCAAGGATTACATTAAGAACCTTGAAGACGTATTCCAGCGACTCAGAGAGGCAAACTTGAAACTGATTCTCGAAAAGTGCAATTTTTTCTGACGCCGAGTGCGATATTTGAGACACATTGTGCCAGTGAGGTATCTGTTGACCCCAAAAGACAGTACCCTGGACAGTGCCGATCCAAGATTAATCTGCACAAAAGAATTAACACCACCTAGGTAGCTTCCTGGGTTTATGTACGTACAACAGCCGTTTTGTTCAGGGATTTGCAAACATCGCAGAGCTGTTAACACGGTTAACATAGGAAGGAATGGTCTTCGAGTACAACGACAACTCTCAAACTGCGTTTGAACAACTCAAGGCAAGTAGAGTGGTAGATTGGTTTACATGGTAAGAAGAGATCTCCAACAATGAAGAAAGGGTTTCCGTTCAACCATTTAAGCTTCCTGCTAAATAATTTTGAAAAAATGCGCTATTGTTTGCGCACGTCTGTCCGTCCATCCGGATCCACTTTTGTGGTTTTGAATTACGTGTAGGGAATTAGTAGTTTTAGAATTTCTTGCTCAACCTTGGAGGGTGGGTGACGGGGAAGTGGGGTAGAAATTGATCCCATCTTTAATGTTATTCTCATTAAAGGTCTCAACAAAAGGAACTGTTTTATGCTAACTACCGCCTTTCTTCCTTACCCGTTATCAGAACAGGGGATTTCGGGTGGGGGGAACTGGTTTTATTTTTCATGGACTGTAATGAAAGGTATCAACCCTTGGTTTGGCGCATTGGAAATGCAAATTTGATGCTTCAAAGCTTTCAAACTTTGGCATCGGAAAGGACTTGGAAAACTGGCGGAACTAACACAAAGACGAGCAGCGGTAGTGACATCCATAGAAGAAGGCGTGGAAGAAAGGGAAGATTAGAAAAAGGAGAATATTGAAAATGCAATATCAACAGGGAGAACTGTGAAAGAATAGGAGAAAGTGATGTGACTTCTAAGGAAAAAGAGTTGGGTTTAAAGAACGAGGAATACTGTAAAGCATGTAAAGAGAGTGATAAAGGGGTACAAAGCATAACAAGAAGAGAAATTAAAACTGAACACAGTTTCTGGAAGTTGGTAGACCGAGGACAGAAACAAAATGAGAGAAATGGAGATTTTAGCAAAGAAAAAGGAAGTAATAGTGGAAAAGGGGATGGGGAAAGAGGGAGGGCGCTAATTAAAGAGACTAAAGACATGGAAGCAGGTAAGGAAAAGTGAGTGACGTTACGTTAAAGATGGACCAAGAAGGAATACAGGTGAACTATCGAAGAAAAGCGATTGGTAAAATTAGAAAATCAGGAACAGGGAGGATAGGGACGAGAAAGTAAAAGAGAAAGATACGGCAAGATAAGGGAAGAAGAAAATAGAGAATAGATGAAAAGTGACAAAAGGGATAGGAATTTTCTAAGAAAAGGCGAGGTTGTGGACTTGTATGGAACGTGCATAAAAGAGCACAAAGAAAAAATTAAATTCCGGAAGAGTGCGCATGGTAGAACCAATGCCATGAGAGATGACAGAGGTTCAAAATAAATAGTGGAATGGGGAAAAGAAATAACAGAATCGATGAGTGTAAATTATCGAGTTAGTTATGTCAAAAACTGTCAATAAAAATTAAGCTTCAGTCTTGTATCCTTTTTGTAAATATAAGCTTGTAGAAAGAAATATTGTGGTTGGTTAAACTCTTTATTTCTAAAAGAATATTTGGTGACCCCGAAATTTTGAAACGTATCACCATGGATGCCCTTCAGAGAGCCAGACGACCAGTTCGGAATGGAGCTAAAAAGAGGATAGCTGAGTTAAACAGACTGTTCCAAGTGGAACCAATTTCGAAGGAAAGGATTCAATTTGTCCTGAAGACACTGAATGGGGAACAGATTAACTTAGCAGAGTTAGACCAGAAGATTTTAGGTCAGATGGTGGATGATGGAGTTGACGAAACGGATCAAGACACGGAATATGAAGCTATTATAGAAATGAGACGGCAAATAATGACAACTTGTTTTAAAGCTGAAGAAATCATAGAATCTTTGGTACTAGTCGTATTGCCCCCATCCAGTATTACATTTGGATCTGAAGGTGGAGCAAGAGGATTTCGATTACCCAAGATCGAGTTGAAGAAATTTTCAGGAGAGTTCAAGAATTGATTAGGATATTGGGCTCAATTTGAAGAAATTGACCAAGATAGTTCTTTGCACGGCAGTGATAAGTTTCAGTATTTATTTCAGTCACTTTTACCTGGAACCGATGCACATGAGATAGCAAGTATCTATCCCCAGTCAAATGAAAATTATCCTAAGGTAATTGAAGCCCTTAAACGAAGATACGGGAATGAAGATTTACTACTTCAAGTTTACATTAGAGAATTATTAAAGTTAGTCATTTCCAATGTGAATTCAAATGACAAGATCCCTTTTCAAATGTTACATATTAAGCTAGAATCACACTTACGAGCACTGAAAGCAGCGTAGTTCTTTGGCTGTCCATGATGGAAATAAAGATACACCTTCGAGGAACCGCTTAGACCTGCTCATGGAATTTCTGGATAAGGAAGTAGGGATCCAACAGAAGATTAGTTTGGCTCGAAAAGGATTTGGAATGGAGATCAAGCCAAAGAAAGCAAATGTTCAAGCTAAAAACAAATTATCTCAACCTACCCCAACCTTAGCTTCTTGTCATGATGGAGATCAATCTTGTTTATTTTGTGGGAAGAGTCTTGAAAGCAAAGAATGTAGTAATGCTAAGAAATGGCCACTTGAGAAGAAAAGAGATGTACTAAAAGAAAAACAAGTTTGTTTTTCCTGCTTCGAGAATATTCTTAGACAACGGCTCCCAAGGATCCTACATTTTGAAATCAACTGCTAAGGATCTAGAACTAGAAGTAAAAAGAACAAACAAAATTACTCATTCACTTTTTGGAGGCACTCAGACGGAAGTGATTACTCACAATTACATCATGTGACATTGGACAAGATTGGTGGAAAAGAATATTCATGTATCATTGGAGTACGTGACGAAGAAAAGATCTGCAACTTTATCCCACGTGTTTCAAGTAACTCTATTGTAGTTAACGAGTCGAACAGGAAAAGAATAAAGTTGTCAGATGTGGGAGATGGATGTCCTCCAATTGAAATCTTACTTGGTGCTGACGTTTATGGGAGACTTCTGACGGGTAAAAGATAAAACTTTCCAATGAAGTCACAGCAATTGAAACTAAGTTAGGTTGGAAGTTATGTGGGAGGATGGGTGAAAGAGAAGATAATAACTTATCAATGTGTATCCTGTCTATGGCTATTCAAGATGCATCGGTTTCACAGCTTTGGGATCTCGATCTACTGGGAATTCGAGATGAAACTGATGCGATATCTGTGGAACAGCAAGAACAAGAAGAAAAGCAAAAGTTCTTCGACTGTTTGACAAGGAATGCAGATGGGAGATATGTTGTATCCCTTCCTTGGATAGATGACCACCCACCACTACCTACAAATTATGAAGTTACAAGGTTACGTTTAAATCATGCTACTAAACGTTTGAAAGAAAATAAACTGTTTGAAGAATATTCTAAATTGTTTAAACTTTGGAAAGACGAAGACTTTATCGAAGAAATCAACCCTATTGTCTGTGACAAGAAAGAAAAGGTTCACTATGTTTCCCATCGAGCAGTGATCAAAATGAGCAGTTCTACTACCCC